GTGGGGCCAGCAGGGGGCGCTCACCCTGCGGTCTGTGTGGGTCCTAATGCCCCAGTGCAGTGACGGGGACACTATACTGTAAACAGGCGCCATCCTTCAGATAAGACGTAAAACTGAGGTCCTGACTCTGTGGTCATTAAAAATCCCAGGGCGTTTCTCGAGTAGAGCAGGGGTGTTATCCCGGTGCCCTGGCAAAATTTTCCCCTGGCCTTTACCAGTCATGGCCTCCTAATAATCCCCATCTCTGAACTGGCTTCATAGCCATAGGTCCCCAACTCAATACTGTCAATAACCCCTCATTTGTATTTCTGTTGAACATCTATTTATTCTGGTCTTCTAAGCTGCAGAGTACTGAACTGGATTTCTGCTCTGCCTCTCACTGAAAGCCCCAGAAGTCACAGCTTTTAACAGTCAGAACAGCTGCCCTATCTCAAGAACCCAGGACAAATATGCAGATGTCCTGGGCTGGCTTTCTCATGTTTCCTTGAAACCATTTCAAACCTACACAAATCTGCTGGACTGAGTACAAATGGGAATGACTTAGAACATAAAAAATGGAAACTAGAAGTTTACATTTAAAGACTAAGAAGAAAAGAATGATCTATTGAGCAAATTTTAAATGACCGCCTTCTACTGAGTTTTCATCACCATCTACCCAAACCAAAATCAACCACAATTGGCTAATTATGTCTCCAAAACTCTCAATTATCAATCACACAATCACCAGTTGCAAAGCTGGCAGGGAGAAGGCAGAAACGATGGGCGATTAGACATCTGGCCTGCAGCTCTTCATGCCGAGATGAAAATGTGAACAGTCCGAGAGCAGAGACACTAAGCTGGCCCTCAGGCTGCAGGCTTGTCACACTGTGGGGCTGCAGGCCCAGGGCAGGGTTCGAGAGCACAGGAGGTCACACTCTGTCAGTGTTTCCTAGCCATGTCAGAATCCCCACGAAAGGAAAATGAACTTTGATGATCACAGCATGATTCAGTGCTTAGCAAGCCAAATGCAGAGAAAGCACCAAGCTGTGGACATTAACCGGAACTCCTTAGAGTAGGAGAATGTTTAATCTGTGGGCTTTCAAATGAAGTTGCTGAGACAACCTGAAATATAATCAGGCGATGAGTGTACCTTCTCAAACCTGCAATTCTGTCATCAGAAATTTGCTCCTTTGTTCCCACGGTTAACTACATCACTAGTGTACATGTCATTAAGGAGGTGAATCACTTGAACCAGCATGCTTACTGTGTGGAATTACTACCAGGGATGAAACCCTGGACCTGCAAACAGCAGAGCAGCTGCCAGCGCTGCAGTAGAGGCAGGAGAGAGAGAGTGGCTCTGCACCAGCCCCGGTTGACCCCACTGTACCCCGCCAGGCTGCAGACAGCACCCCTTCCTCCCTCAGTAACGCCGCATCTATCAGATCCATTATTAAGGAGTTGTGCACAAGGCAAGTCGTGCACTAACACACAACACATAAAATAAAAACAAAAGCAGGGCTTGAAATCTTTCCCCTTTAAAGAATCCTCTCAGTAGTGCCGTTTCTGAAGGTCTCCTTTAAAATATCCAACACCAGCAGGTGCCCCTCAGAGCAGGAACATCTTACTAATGTGTGGTAACTGAGAGAGAATATCTGTTGCCATTAGATCTGGCTCCAAACCGTACAATTTTTCCCAAGTCACACCCAGTGATGTGTCATTCATTACCAATATGAATTAATTACAGGATATTTTCATCACATTTGCATTGGGGTTGAATAGGCTTGAAAGTGATGTTCGTTTTAGGTCACATGTGGCAGCTGCTGCAGTTAACTGTATTAGCAATTGTGCGTTTGCAAATTAATTTCATAACGGTGAAGCTGCGGGATATATTTTTA